CTCATGCCACATCGGCCGTCGCGTGGGAAGAACGACTAAGGATTATCCGACAGTATAGAAACGAAGACTGGAAAATTCCAAATTCTGATGGTACAGCTTGGAAATTTCCGGGTCGTTCATGAGGACCGATAGGTAGTCAGGACAAACAACCTAACTGTTCATGGGTAGTCTCATTTAACTAAAAGTTGTTAACAGGATGAATCACGCTTCAAGTCAGGGGGACTTACCAATTGTTCCAATCAAACGGCTTTCGGCGGAAGCTGACAGAATTTTGAAGTACTCGTTTAGGACGACACCGTCTTGACAAAAGTGAGAATCCAAACGCAGAGCATACTCAGTTTCCGCCAGAAAGGAACTATCCCGATTAACAAGGCTAACAGCACGCTCAGCAGCTTGAGGATGGAAAAGGGGGACAAAACAGAAAAGGGCAGTAATCATAAGCAGAAAAATGTATAACAGCTTGGGTTGGATAAACGAGTTTATCATTAAGTGTGACACTTAATAAGAGATCACTCGGCGAGCACTATGGCGAGTGCAGCGGAGATGCACGAAAATAGCGTGCTGTGAGGACGAGTCCATCTGGGCCGCTTTTGGTCCAAGTCGCGTGGAAACTTCACGTCTAGCGAACCTGATTCAGCAACCTGCGGAGCACGGCTGAATTTGCCACTCTCAACTTCTACGGACTGAGCATTCTCAACTCCTCATGGGAACCTACTGACGGAGGGGAGGATAGACGGAGATTCACAGACTGACATCCCACAAGTACATGGTAGCACCAAGAACATGGTGCTCAGCGATGACGGGATTGATGTGCGCAGCAGCTATCCGATTCATTAAGCATTTCACAAAAAATCATCCAGCACCATCAGCCACGGTGGCTCGGCCATGCCGAAACACCGCCTATTGAGACAGGTGTTGTTCTCCTTGCCTCCTTCAGAGTGGTGCAAACTGCGAGTTGGATTAAGCAGAAGGGTGTAAAAGAGATTAGGGAAGAGTGACTGAGCACTTGAAGGTCTAGGCATCTCGAAGTGCTTGTGGCAGACGGACATCCGTTTCCCCACTCATCCGCTCTTTTCTCTTCTTTTTACGCTAAGGCTTTACGTGCAATTAGGCAAACTAGGCGGTTGTATGGCAGTTAAGCGCTACTGTCAACACTGATGTTGCTATCTTCAGGGATGAAGATGCGTCTTAAAAAATTAAAAAGGAAATAAATCGTCTAGGCATGGATTCCTTTTGTCCCACAGTTGTCATGGTAGAGACAACAAGGACCGGGATATTGTCAAGATTTTCACACTAAGAACGGGAAGCGCCTGTGATACATGCGACTTGTCTGCTCTGTTATTCAAAACGGGAGTTTTCAACGGACGAAATATTTGACTGTAGATAAGAGTCATGCATTTCTGTTCTGTCACAAACGAAAGTGAAAAAATTCTGACAACCGACGCACTGGCTAGCAGGCCGGAAAACCGGCTATCAGACATCCATGCAATGGTGAAGTTTGCCTTTTGATTCCAGCCCTCAGTCCAGAACAACCATTTGGAAGGATTCCTACGAAGCCAACTGCAAGCGCTCTCCTGGAAAAAAGTGTCCAGGAGGAAGCGATGTGGAGGCAGGGAAGCGTCCCGTTGAGACATTGTGACCTGTGGTCCGAAGAGAGGAAATGAGAATACGCAGTAGGTAGATGTGGACCGCATTGTCGACAGAGGAACTGCTAGGAAAACTTCGGAAACTGCTCACGAACAGCTTCCAATTAAGCTCGTTTTCGTGATTTTGCGAAAAGAGAACATGCGAACCGTATGAAACACCCGAAATAAATAAAAATCAAGCAATAACTGCCAGTGTTTGTTAGCGCGTATCGACAACCACCAAGAGTCCCAAGTTGGACATAAGGTGGCCTTCGTACATCACATTCATTAAAAGGCTGATAAACGAGAGACTCAGATGCTACCACACTTCCATCAAAGAGAGCAGTACAACTCTGCCCACCGAACTACCTCGTAATATGATACAGCGTTCTGCTTCTCTTTGTTTGACAGCTCTCCAAACCTTTCTGAGACAGCTGAACCGTAAGGGGCGAAGTTTCCGGCAACATGATCCACAGAATCATGTCATTGGTTGTTAAGATGCGAGAAAAAAAACATTTCAAGAAACAGATAGGGGCTTGGATTAGGCAGAACCAAGGTATTGGATTCTAGCAGGAGCTCGTCATTACCACAGTTTACGGAAATTTCTGGTGCACAGTGCCGGCAAGATGACTGGTACTGGATCATGGATAACACATACGAAGTAAGAGAGAACACGAAGCTGAGGAGAGTTAACACTGGGTGTGTCCTAACAAAGCAAAACACTTCCGCCAAGAGGGCTTTGTCTGCTCTAACGGGATCTGACCGCTCGGAACGGCCAACAAGATAGACAGATCGAACAACAACTAACGAGGAACTGCTGGCAGTGAAAGTGCCAACCTCCTCGCTAAGAAGCCCGTAGTATAGAGTGTTTTGTGGCCCAGACTTGAGTGACAAGCCTGCTGTTCAGGATTACACAGGAACGCGGTTTGGGACATTTTTATGCCACACCAAATGGTGCCTTGGACAACGTTTCGTCGCAGTCATGTCTTCAAAATTTCATAGGCCCTGTATCCCCTTACGCATCCAAAGACCCGTTTCTGTTCATATTAGTCCTCAGAAAGAATATGGAAAGTAGATGGAACAGCAAAAACACGAATGTCCACAGATCTGAGCAGCAAGCCAAGTGACCAGTACTTACTTTTCTTTTGAGTTCCTCGAAATCATAATCATTGAGGTAGATTCGTGAAGCCAACGTGTGTAGCAATGGACTGACTGCGCTCAAATTGGCCCAAGAAACTTTGATTGCTTGATACGATTCGGTCCGACAAAGCTCACTTATCAACTCACTCTCTGTGTGTTCAGTGCTAGAGGCCCAAGAGTGCTCGCATGGGGGTGGGTCAATCCATTTGTATGTGTTCGAGTTGATAATTGAATCCTTTACTGACCACTCGTACACTGTGACTGGCTGACCAGTAAACGTAGTCCGATTAGACTGTAGGTCTATGAAGTGGGGAACGAGCCAAAATTAAAGGAGGATTCAGAAATTCACAAACTAACACGTACCCCTTATGTCCCAGTAGAAATACACACAGAGACAGAGAGAGGACAAACTAGCTCGATTCGATCTCGTTCTATTCCGCGACAATGGATGTGGAAACGATTTTGATGCGCCTGACGAGTCTGATGAAAACTGAGTCACCTAAACGACAGAAACTACTAATCAGAGCGGAGTTGAACTAAAGTCATTTGATCCTAAAAGTATGACTCCTGGCAGAGCCATGGCAGACGATAAGTACTCCGAAAAGAGAAGTGATCCAGGGAAGGTGGCGAATGGATATCCCAAAGAATCCTCTACTGGAGATGACATCTCCCATAGAGGACCGTTTCGGAAAGGTACATTGAGGATGAAGCGATTCAGGTCTGATCTGATCTAGTCTGATAATCCAGCCCACTCACATTCAACGGGCAATCGACAGTAAAAGGGCGAATTTCATAAGGGGGCAGAGTCCCTGTGTTCTAAGTTCACGTAGGGACAGAGAATGCCGCAAGTGCCCCCAAAATCTAGTAAACCGATGAAGTTGATCAGTGGTTGTATTTCCTCCGTAACTACACCATACACCGAAGACCTACTTGATCCCTCTTTTCACCGTAGACAGGGGAACTACATCAGTTACCGGAGGTGTCCGTAATGTCCTCAGTGCATAATACATGTATATTGCAGACTCAACCTGAGTGGGGGGGCTTGACTTACCCATAAGAAACAACGTGCCCAAGATGTAAGTGGAATGAGATAACACTGCGCCACTAGTACACCTGAAAGGCTGTTCCAACCACACCTTACGTACTCTGAGTGAGCGTCGGACGCCGTGCCAACCAAAGTTCATATTGGTCTTGTGAAGTAATTTGGTTTCCTCACTCCCGTGATAATCTTAAATAGATATATGAATAGGTACTTGGCGGAACAAGCTACTCATAGTTATTGAAAACCTTTCGACAGCCCACTACCAGTTTGGTCCTTCCTGGGGCTCATCAGGTAGGCACAGTTCCAGGGTAGTCGTCAACCTCATTTTCTACTTGAACCCCAATCGTAATTAGTTCGCAGACTAAGTTGTTGCTGACGCGAGGCTCGAATGAATCCAAGCTAAAGCTGTTGTTTACGATATCTTTCAGCTGAATGTGCTGCTTCATGTTTAAGTCTGCAAATAACTGTATTTAGCCAATTGTGTACAATTTGGTGGCCAGTAGAAAATAAAGTAGGCGGCAACTCGGTCACCGCGCCGACCTAATAAGCCTCAAGAAAGGCGAAACCGGTCATGGGCTGTCGAAGAACTTTTCAACAACTCTTTCATAAAGGAAACTACTTACAAGGTTGCTGAAAACTCTTCAACGCCCACGACCCGGTTTCTCCCTTCTTGCGGCTCATCAGGTAGGCGCAGTCCACGAGTTTCCGTCAAACATATGATCTACCTGAACCCAAATTGGACTGTTTTCGAGAAATACACTCATTTGCAAATCAATTTGGCTTTCACGAGAGACTCAACTGAGTAGTTTGCTTTATGGGAATATACTGCGATATCTCGAAATCATGCCTGTGTGCAGCACATTCAGTTGTAGAATATCATAAACGAGAGATTTAGTTGAGTCTCTCGTGAAAACCAAATTGATTTGCAATTGAGTGTATTTCTCGAAAAATTTCAACAACCTTATGAGTAGCACATTCTACTAATAAAATATACTGCGATATCTCAAATATCGAGCGAACTAAAACATGAGGCGAACTTTGTGCAGAACGTTCCATTGAAAAATTCCATAAACAAAAGATTCAGCTGGAATTCGGTTGATTCTCCCTTTGAAAAATCAATTTGCCTACGAGTGTATTTCGCCAGGTATGTCGACAGTGGCGCAGCAACCGAGAGCTCAAGGCGATCGAGTCGACTGTTTTCTGAAAGAGATCTACAAGCGATAAATACCTAGAATAGGAAGCATGAACAAAAGCTGACGAGTGAGGTGCCACGTATGTTGCTGCTCATCCAACACAAAGCATGTGTAGCCGTTTTCAGATCACAATGTCAGACGCCCATCCGTAAGACATGACGTCTGGTAAACAATGATCTATCTCAAGCTCCAACGGAAAATTAGAGAGGTAACAGTTTCCGGAACTTATCGAACCCCAACCGCGTAATAGCAATGCCTTTTCCAGAAAGGAACTAGACAGGCTTCTATAAAGGTAAAAGACATGACGTCTGGTAAACAATGATCTACCTCAAGCTCCAACGGAAAATTAGAGGTAACAGTTTTCGGAACTTATCGAACCCCAAACTCGTAATGCCTCTTCTAGAAAGGAACTAGACAAGCTTCGATAAAGGTAGACCTAGAGGTACAAAGCTACGCCACAAGTGAACGGCGCCATTGTGATTTAGTTCAACCAGAACCCCACAGAACTCCACTGCAAGCTGGGTCTGATGCCCACCCAGCATGGCAATATCTGGCTGGTATGTTCAGGCGTCCATTCGACAGAAGCGAAGAACAACGGACTGTCGTTTCATTTCATCCGACACAACACAGCTGGTTTGAATTGTTGTGTC